AGGCAGAGGGAGAAGCAGGCTCCTAGCTGAGCAAGGAGCCCGATGCGGGACTTGATCCCAGGACCCCCGTATCAGGACCTGAGCCAAACGCAGACGGTTATCTGACTGAGCCACCCAGGCATCCCAGATCCTCCATTTTTGAACTTTTTTTTTCATTTTTGAACTTTTACTGCATTTATGTCAATGTGACATTTTTGCTTGAATTCAAACTTGTTATCTCCCATTTCTCCACACAAGCACAATTTAACTACGGATATTGGTTTCTAGTGTCAATATTATATTGCTTCAAATTGCTTCCATTGTTTTAAAAAGATATCTTTTGTTTGTCACATGCATAGGGCTGTTCATGATAACTTGCAAAAAAACAAATTTTGTGCAATAATTATATTGGAATTAAAGGAAGTCATAGATTTCTGGCACTCAGTTTTAGATTTATACACTTCAAAACTGAAGATTATAAACATATCAACATGACCTGGGGTGGGAGGGAAAGAGAGAGATGAGAAGGTTCTGTGTAGGTTTATTACAGCACCTGTTAAAAACCGGGAAGAGATAGCATGCACTCTTCCATAAATCTGGTAGTTTCAGTTGAGAGGCAGTCATGGCTCTAGCACATGGGAAAGTCTCAGTAAATATTAATTTTGTGGTTAAGATCACGTCTGTGGAGACAGATCGCCTGGGTTCCAGTCCTGGCTCCATTACTTACTAGAACTAGTGGTGTTTGTGTCTCTCCAGCTGGCATGAGGGGGTCGGGCAGAGGAAAGGCTCATACTCCATTACATTAGTTATCATGAAATTTATTCAGGTATTTGCTATTATTTGTCTTTTCGATTTTCAAGGCTGTTGGCAAATAACGTTAGCTACAATGCCTTTAAAATGTTGGTGGTAGTATTTATCATTTGATGTCTCCATTTGCCTGGCTTGTTTAGAAATGGTACAACGTGGTATCCCACAATTGTCTACCCCGGAAAAACAATTTAAAATTACCCTAAAATACATTGCAATAATCAGTTATGAGCACCTGTGAAATCTACACTCTTCTATACTTGTTTCTTCAAAACATCCATACGATCCCACACACCAGTCAGAGGCTCCAAACTCAGTGCCCACCACGAAGATTTCACATGTGAGTGCGGCTGACTTCTTGCACTACCTGAATAAGGAGCTGCATCTGAGCTAAAGACACTGATGCCGTGGGGGATGCACATCCAGTCGGCCAGAGCGTCTACATTTTCAAGAGATGCCAGAAATTGGGATTTTTACTTTACATGATATTTCTCACTTAAAAATTTTTGACTCTATTTATTTCTTCTATTTTTTTTAATTTTTACCTCTCAAATTTGTTTCTTAGTACAAAAGTCTGTGGGTCAAACAACACATTTGAGGGCCATTTATTGTGAAATACCGGCCAGTTATACTAGCACGTACGTACAAGTACACTGTGCTGTTAGTCAGATCAGCAAATGCTTTCCAAGCCCTTGTGCTAAGGCATGAATAAAAGGTGGGGAAGACAAAATATGACAAAAATCTTCACAAAACTCACAAGTCTAACGGGGAAATAGGCAATAATGTCACAGAAGAGAGTGAAAAATGCTATAGCAGAGTGTGGAACCCAGGACTTAAGCCTGGTGAGTTAAGCATTTGATCAGGCCTACGTTAAAACAGACAAAAAACAAAGAAGCCTATTATTTGAAAGTTTGGCAAACGGTGGACACCCAAGTAGATGGCTCTTTTGTTTCACAAAACACCTTAATGGATTTTTGGGGTGGAAGCTATGCATGGACAGGGCCAAGCCTTGCACGGTTCCAGGGGGACCATTCCTATTGTGGCTTGTACAATTGGCACCCCCTTGAGCACCATTCAGGTTGTATTCTTTATGAATGGTACCCCCTGGATTTGTGCAACCTGGCGATTCTGTCAACAAAGATAGGCCTGGAGTCTGGCCTGAGAGGAGGATTGAGCTAAATCCTTCTACATAATAAAGAGGAATTTTAAATCTTTGCCTAGTGGGTGGAGGCAGGAGGGTGGAGGGGTGTCCGTGATGGTGAGAAGGAAAAGGTTTTGGAGGAAAGATCTCTAGGATGAGGGTGGGCCAGCGATTTGGCAACAACCTGGAGCCCATGAACCTGGTGAGAGCGTCCCTGTAATTTTTAAGAGTCGCATAAAATCCTCTGTCGTCTTCTTTAACTTCTAGGAGACACTGACAAATGAAGTCAAACAACTTACTCTTTGGCTTCAAGTATAGCCTTTGAGCCTTTTATGTATGAATCAGCAGATAACCAGGAAAGATTCGATGCTCAGGCTCACTTGGTTAAATATACAATACTGTAATAACTTGCCTTTTTACTGTTTTTCTTCAAAAAGCTCAAAGTGCTTATACTTTTATTTCCTCATTTGTTCTAACATTCCAGTGTGGGAGGGGAAGATTTATGATAACATTATTTATAGATGGAGAAATTGAAATAGAGATTAAGTTGCTTACTCAATGTTGCATAGTTTGGGTGGTGGAGCCCACACTGGAATTTGGTTCTCCAAGCTCCTGCCACGAAGTGGAGAGATCCTGAGTTTTGGAATTAGAGAAATCTTTGTTTGAACAACCCAGAGTTCTGCCCTTTCAATAAGAATGTGGCCTTAAGTCAATTATTTCACCTAGGTCTCAGTTTTTCTCTTCTGTAAAATTAAGACCATAAACCTCATACTAGTGTAGTGAAGATTAATTTAGAAAATGCATGTAAAGCCCTGCCACAGAGCAGTTCCCAAATAAGATTAGTTCCACCCCTAACCCAGTATTATCTGGTTAAATTTCAGTACAGATTTAAAGTAATCAAAAAAGAATCCTCCGTGAATACTCATTTTTTTTTTCAAGCCTCATCTCCCACTGAGAGCAAAACATGAATAGAAATGCTTCCACACATCATTTAATTCAACGGGCGAACTTTTGCTTCGGTGGAGTTATTCCTGTTGGGGATAATTAGAAAAAAAGAGTTATGTGGAAGACAAGATAGTAGAGTGCAGTGTTTCTAAAACTTGAGAATGTATCAGAGTCACCTGCAAGGCCTGTTTAAACACAGATTGCTGGGCTCCACCCTGGAGTTTCTGATTCATGAGGTCTGGAGTGGGGCCTAATAATTTGCATTTTTAACAAGTTTACAGACGATGTTGATGTTGCTAGTCCAGGGAGGATAGCTCAGAGAAGCACTAGCATGGGTACGTGAAATTCGGGGGGTGGGGCCCAGCAATCTGTGTTTTAACAAGACGTCTGGGTAATTCTGATGCACTTACCAGTTTGAAAACCACTGGCATAGTGATGAAAATCATCTGAGGAGACAGACACACGTTCAAATCCCGACTGTGCCATTTACTAGTTAGATCAGTTCGGTGATAGACCTCTAGCATATTTGAGTCCAGCGGGAGGCTGACAAGGTCAGGATTCCTTCTCACTATCCTTCTAAGCTTCTCTGTGGAAAGAAAAGTTAGTGAGTCCTGCCAATCCAGGCTCTGTTTTTCACTTCTTCACACTGTGAGGCGCGAAAGGCTGCTTAAATCTGGGTATTAGGGAAGTATTTACAAACACTTCTGCAAACACAAAAATAAAATAAACAAGACAGCGCTGTAAATAAAGCCAATGGCAAAGGCACTGTTTATATCTTAAATTCATAATAATGGGTTTTGAACCATTTCCATTTTCCTGCCTTTCTTGCTAGAAAATTTTTAAAAACCTTCCTCCCCCACAGTTTTAAGAGCTGCTTGTAAATTTGTTTTGCAGACAGTATGCATGTTAAGAGGATCCCCCCATCCTCCCTCCCATATCTGGCCTCAGATACAGAATCTGCCTCAGATGTTTGGTGCTTTCCTGATTCTGTGGCTGAGGAATTCCTTCCTCACCGCCCCCCCTTCTTTTCCTGCTTGGCATCTGACCCTGTGGGTCCTCAGACTGTCCTAGCTCCCAGTGTCACAAGTATCCAGGCTGGCCCCAGGACATTCTTTGGCTTACCTACCTTCATTTTTCCTATTGCAAAACCCTCTACTCTTTATTTCCTTAACCTTTTCTATCGCCTATTGCTAACCCACAGTTTTCCAAACTGCCCCTTACTAGAGTGATCCACAGGAGGAGAAATTGTTCCTATTGATGGTGACGGAGAATTGTTGACTTTTATCCAGTCCTACTTGGTACTAAGTACACTGAAGGGTTTATCATGCATGTTCATTTTGAATTCCTACACAATCCAGAGATGATTATCCGTATATGTATATGCATACGCACACACGCAAATGAGGAAACCGAGGCTTAAAGAAGTCAAGCAACTTGCTCAAGGTGAAAAAGTAAAAGTACATAACAGGATGCAGGCAATAAGATTCCAGAGTCTCCTGGCTCTTGGCTTCTGCTCAAATTCCAAGTATAGGAATATAATTTGCCTCCTGCCCTTAAAGAGCTTAAAAATCTTGTTAGGGGTGGATGAGGTTTATACACACAACACAAGTTAAAATCGAGAGCCACTGTTTGTGGTATTGGGTTTGGTATCTTTGACCGGCTTCCTCCTCTGCAAGATACAGATAAGAACAACAACCTCAAGGGGCATGGGGATGATTGACCGAGTTAAGCATCCGAAGCGCGTAATACAGTGCCTGTAGCGCAGTAAGCGTTCAGTAAATGTCAACTATCTCTATTTTTAAAGGAGGCGGACTGGAGTGGAGAGCATACTGGAGAGTCGGGAGTCCGGCTGTATACGCCGGACCCCTGCACCCAAATTCTCCGATCCTCGGTTTCCTGGTCCGTAAAATTAGGTGGCAGGAGTGGACTAACTGGAAGAGCAGTAAGGGACGCAGCCGTTGCCTGGAGATCCGAGAGGCCTCGGGGCAGAAAGGGTTAGTGACGAGTCTGGGGGCGGCTTTACGGCGCTCAGCGGGAGAGGCCCCGCCCCGCCCCGCCCCGCCCCGCCCCGCCCCGCCTGGGAGGCCCTGGCAGCTCCAGCCCGCTAGCAGTTCCGGTGCCAAAACTCTTCCCTCCCCCGCTTCCCCGGAAGTGCTTTTCCAAGGTTCGGGCCGGAGAGAGGCCTTGTAGGCACAGCTGCTGAGCCTCGATCGGCTCCGAGTAGGGGCTCCTGCCCGGGTGGGAGCCCGGGGGTCCGCGGCCGCCGACCCGCGCCTGCCTCCTCCCAGCGCCCAGGCCGACGGTGAGTGGCCGGGGGAGCACACCCGGACGGCCGCGGGCCGCGTCAGGGCTTGTGCTCTCGGGCCCCCGCTGCCCGCTCTACGCTGCGGGCTCCGCTGTCGGGGTGCGGGGAAGGGGCTTGTCGACCGCCGACGTCCTCGCCGAGTCCGCCGGGCGGGAAGGAGCAGGCGGCGGGGCCTTGGGGTGGGCGGGGCGGAGCCGGGGAGGGGGTTCTTGGAGCTGTTGTAGCCGTTGGGACTTGAGAGTGGGGATGGGCTGGGCCTCGGTCCATCCGAGCTCCTCATTTCTGCTCCCCCAAATCTTCCCGTTGCCTCCCGGATTTGGTTTTCTCTGTCGACCCGGGGCTGGGAACATGGACACCAGACTCAATCTTGGGCTCCAGTTCCCGACTTTAGCGTCCTCCGGGTCTGTCCTCGGGTCAGTAATTAGCCCGGGTCCCAGGGGTGTCGTCTCCTCAGTCCCAGGGCTGGGCGATGCATGTGTAGATGCCGGGGGTCTTTTGCAAAGCTTTTCATCCACACCCGCCTAGGGGTTGCCCGGGGATCGATTTGGACTGCTCTCAGGACCGGTTTGGATACGTAGATCAGTGTGGCACCGGCGTGCCTCCCATGATCTTTACTCACTGGAAAGCTTGCTCAAGCTGTTGCTGAAGTCATTTAGAAAAACAGTTTGCTTGAGGAAAATCAGTAGTTAAGTTCCCTTATTTTCTTGCAGACTTAAAAAAAAGGATGCTATTCTCTTAATATGCACTCCTAATTCTGGTGGCCATCTGAAGTCACAGTTGAATGGCTAGTTCATTCTGCGGTTATTGCACGAATTGATTACAGAGGGTTGGAGAATTATTTGTACCCCCTCTTCCCCGAAGTTTGTATACCTTCATATTTGGACCTGTCATTTTCCTTAACTTTTAAAGAAAAACTTTTCACAGTAACTCCTTAGAGTTTCCCCATACTGTTAGAGTTGTGCTGCAATGCAGAGGTTCACACAGGTGGACAGAGGTGGTGTGTGTGTGTGTGTGTGTGTGTGTGTGTGTGAACCTATATTTTAGAAGTGTTTACCTCGGATAAATTGAGAACTTCCTAGAGGAGAAAGTGATGTAGGTAGTTTTTTTAGTGAACAGATTATAGGTAGTAGACGGCTGGAAGGTTTGTAGGCGATAAGAGTTTTCCACATTTAATAGTGATTTTTAAATTACGATCACAAGAGAATGCGGTTACTGCAGGTTGTGACTGTCGTATATACAAACCACCTTTGTGAAACCAGTGGCACTTAACTGCATTTCTCAGCCTGTGCTTATATTAGAACTTACACTGTAGTTTTTTGGGTACTTATCTCATTCTATCTCCTCCCACTACTGGAAGGGGAGGTAATGTCATGCATTAGGGAAAATACACTGAAGTGTTAAGTTCAGTGGTAAGTGAGCTCTCCTGTGCAAAAGAAAATTTATTTCAGTGTTGTTGATTTTTAGCAGGCAAAGGGTGGATGGCTTCTTAAAAATTCTGTTTCTTTTATTCCTTTACTGACTGTGGTCAAAGGGTGGTTGATTTTTAAAGTCCCTGGAAAAAATTGTGGAGGGAAGATTAGTTGCCCAACTTTTAGATTTAGATGGAAACTGTAGATTCTTAGCTGTTTGAAGTACTTAATTGTTTAGAGCTTATGATTGGAATATCTGCAAAAGGAGTCCAGTTAGATATGATTATGGATCCATACATAGTGAGAGTATGATAGCTAATGTGTTTTGAAGGGAAATATTTTAAGAATTATAAGAGCAGAAAAAGGTAATCGGGGAATTTCAGGTACTCTTAGGCACTGTAAGTTTTATTATGTTCAAGTCCATTCAATAGATACTGAATATTTGCATTGTAAATTTTATTGTATTATTCAAGTCAATGGGTACTGAATTTTTGCTGTGTTAGGCATCAAGCTATATTGGGCAACCGTGTAGGAGCAATAAAAATTCATGTTTTGGCAATAATTTTCTAAGGTGTATCAGAAATCATGAAGAGGTAAATTGTATTGCTTAGGCATATTGCAAAGTTTTTTAATTGTAGGCGGGCGTTGTGTGTTTCATGAAAAGCACTGTTAGGCATTATAGGGTACAAAGATTAAGTATTTGGTCTTTAGGAATTTGAAATCTAGAAGGGGATGTAAGATATTTACATAAAAATATGTAAATACTTACTGTGTGAGTGGTTTGACCTAAAGTTTGGAGTTATATGAAAGGAAAATGGGTTCATTATTAACTGGAGTAATCAGCTTAAAAGTGGAAGGTGGGTGGTGGAGGTAAAAAATACTCTGAAGCTGTTGAGCACTTAGCATCATGCTCTGTGCTAGTTGCTTTCCATACATTTTCTAAGCTTCACAACAACATATAAGCATCTGGGCGCCTGGGTGGCTCAGTTGGTTAAGCGACTGCCTTCGGCTCAGGTCATGATCCTGGAGTCCCGGGATCGAGTCCCGCATCGGGCTCCCTGCTCTGCGGGAAGCCTGCTTCTCCCTCGGCTTGTGTTCCCCCTCTTGCTGTCTCTCTCTCTCTGTCAAATAAATAAATAAAATCTAAAAAAAAAATTTAAAAAAAAATTAAAAAAAACCCATATAAGCATCTTTCTTAATAAATAAGGAGGACAATGCTCAAGTATATTAAGTAGCTGAGCCTCAGTTTGAATCCAGGTCCACCTGGTGCCAAAGCCTGTGCTTTTCCACTATATCATGCTACCTCTCAATAAACTGGTAGCCTGAGTTTCACATTGCAGAGGGTAAGACTTTTCTAAAACAAGAATTTAGGGGTCGGGAGTAGGTGGATGAAGGCTTTTCAAATAAAGAGAGTGATGTAAGCACAATGGTGGAGGTGGGAAAGTTCATTGTATACACAAAAATGTTAGTGGACAGGTTTCTTAGAATATAGGGTTCATTTTTGGAAATAAGAGATGAGGTCTGAAATTTTAAGTGGGTCTGGATTGAGGAGCATGTTTAAATGCTGTATTTAGGAGTTCAACATTTAGGAGGTATTGAGAAACAACTAGGTCTAATAGTGTAGTATGTGAAATGATTTGTTGTAGAAAGCCAGCTTTCAGTATAGTATCCACACAGGGCAAGGGCAGTGGCATTGAGATAGAGTGGGTGGAGGAGGGATTGTTGGGAAAGGTTTGGAGAAACTGGAAGTTGAAAATTATATTCATTTTAAGTGTAGGTGATGGTGATGGTAGTACTATTACTAGAAATATAGGCAAGGAGGTGCATAATAAGATCAGTTTTGAATATGTTGAGTTTTTTATATACTTGCAAAACACTGGAATTGCCCAGAGGCTTTTGGAAATATGGGTTTGTAGTCCATGAGAGAGGTCAGTGCTAGGCATATATTAAACATGGATGTAGAGAATGATACAAATGGATGTACTGGTTGAATCTGTATAAAGAGATGAAAGAGCTGGAGGGAGTTTACAAGGAAAGAGAAAAATGAACCTTTATTTTAGATGGCATCTGTTTAAAACGGAAGGAAGAGATAGTCTGTACTGTATTCTGCTCCCTCCCATCGCAGATTCAGATGGAGTACAAAGAATCTGATCATTGAAAATCCAGTTGGGAAATAAAATTTTCTTGCCTTTGCAAGCAAGGATATTATGCTATCATTACCCCATTTCATGGAGGATGAACTATTTCAGACTCACTGGTTCCAGAGTGTTAGGCTTTAGTTACTTAAGAGCTGTTTAGTCGTTTCTTTTGGGCATTTGTTGGCAAGTGATATGTGAGGATTTGGAAGCAGATCTCTGATAGGTATTCTATTTATTCATATTTATGACTTTGAATTTTGGTTTTAATATCAAAAGCCTTTGAATATTCAAATATAATTTTTGTCTCTCCTATTCCTACTGGCTGCTAACAGTGCCTTTCATGGAAAATGGTATTTAATTACATACTTGTCTTCCAACTCTCTTTTATAAGTACTTTTGATTAACACAGGTAGTTTTGTCTTTAATGTTCTGATTATCCTAGAGGGATGGAATGATAAGCTACTTTTTTCCATCATGTAATGATACATATATAAAAACTATGTATTTTTATTTGGAAACTAAGGACTAAAGACTTATGGAATTTCATGTAGTTTTCTGTTTGACATTTGAATATGGGGAACCTGTGTATTAATGTGTAAAAGATTGTAATAGTTTGCGGAATGAGGCTTAGAGTTGTAACTTTTTGAGGCCAAGTTTATTATTTTTAGACTGAGTTACCAGGGAAGTGTTTATTTCCTTCTTGAGAATTAATACATTCCTTTTGTTTCTGAGAAATATGTTTTTTACTATATCACAGGCTCATGGGAATGTCCTGAGAGTCCTGCGTCAGTCTTGTTGGAGGCAGGGGGTTTTGTGTGTGCTTTGTCTGGGCTGGTTGGCTCAGTTGCAGTGAGCCTGGTATTAATGAGGCAAAGGTCAGGAGTTCCATTTAGCTTCGGTCTGAGTGATGGCCAGGGAAGTACACCTCTAGCCAGCTGTCTTGGAAATTCCTCGGTTGTCATTGGTCACAAAGGTGACTGGATTAGGGTGGATCTTTATACCACTGAAAGAATATTAGAGGAAACTTATAATGGTTAGTAATTCTGACTCTGGAATTAGACAGACCTGTGTCAAACTTCTTTGTCCGCGATGTTGGGAGAGTCCCTAAACCTCTTCAAGCCTCTACTTCCTCATTATTGAATAGGTTAATATTTGGTTTGGGCATGTCCTACTGTTGTTTTCTTTTTCCAAGTGGGAGTTTAGCTGCTTAGACCTGTGGTTCCCCAATGCTGGACTGTGGAGAGGTGTCAGTCCATGACAGAGTTTTCACTTGTCTGAAATGAGAATGAGTTAGCTTTTCATAAGGCTAACTCTGTTGAATTTAAAAAGATAATATTTTTTTCTAAAATTGTCTTTTACCATTTTTGATGTAAGCGTATTAGTTATTTTATGAAATAATGGTGGTGGTAATTGGTAGTTATTTTCTTTTTAAATGTTCTTGGCAAAATAA